CTACGTGCAGCCGACCTCCTGCATCATGTGCAGCGTGTACGGTGCGCGCCAGCGAGTGGTACCTCCCCGAAAACCCGTGTACAACAGGTTGTGACGTGAGTGGATCTGCCGCTTACCGCACAGTGATTACAAATGGACCTGCACGCGTACCATGTAACACCTCCCGTGATACACCGGCGTGCGGCACGTACACGCGATAAGCGCTGGAGTAGCACGCGACGGCCGCACACTAACCACACTCACATTCTTCCGGAGCCTCTCGTCGCCTTCTCTCCGCTCATCTCAACGTCTTTTTCCCGTCCTCGTCTCTCTCTCGGCGGGCTTTGTCTCTCTTTACTCACCTTCTTGTGTGTGTTGGTGTGTGTGTGTGTGTGTGGTGTGTGTGTGTGTTCGTTTGTGTGTGTGGTGTGATGTGTGTTTGTGTAGTGTGTGTGTATGTGCCGTGTGGTGGCCTGGTGTGTGTGTGTGTGGTGATGATGTGTGTGTGTGTGTGATGTGTGTGTGTGTGTGATGTGTGGCGCGCGTGCCAGGGTCGCGCCGCGGCTCCAGGCGTGTGTGGCTAGTAAATCACGAGGCATGCCCCATTGGACCGATTGTCAATAATAAAAGTGATGGTTAGATAAAATACAGGGAACAAAAATTTGTCAGTACCTAACCTTACCTCTCACAGTACCAGTCAAATAGCTCTTAATGTTTTCATTGTGACCGTAATAAAAATGTTCACTAATCAACACCTGTTCAGAATATGTCACCGATGCAACCAACATAGCCCGCAACGGCGCGAGCGATCGGTAAGACCATTGTTGCATGCACATATTACACAAGTAGGTAGGGAAAGGTAAGAAAGCCGTTTGTCACAGAAGTTGCCAGAGACGCTCCACGTTTTTGTCGTCCGCGACTAGACAAGAAATAAACGTCCAAACGGCCGAATGATAGTTGCATCTGTGCGTGTAGCGGAATGAATAGTGCGACCACTTGTGCAAAAAACTATAACGTTGTTGGCAACTCTGGTACCGTGTCCGACTTACTTTACCCAGAATTATATGAGAAATCGCTGCTGCAATGATTGCCGAAAAACCCATAGAAGCCCGGAAGTTTGTAAACATGGGACAAAAGTACGATGAGCAAATGGCGCGCATTGCATTATCCTGGGAGGGCAAAATTGGGCAAGGTAAGAATTGGGCTGGCCCAGAATTCTGCGCCCGAATCCATTGTCTCCCACCTGGTCACTTGGTCCCGTTTACAGTGTCTCTACAAACAGTCGCTGTCATGGGAAATTGGCGGAAGCGAAATTTGAGCAGATTTCTCAATATAGAGTTCTGGTAAGGAGTAAGTGGTAGCCAAGTTGCAAAACGTATATTTTTGAAACAAGTGTCATTGCAGTCTACACCACAGATGCGCAATATCCATGGCGTTTGACGTTTTCACTCTCATTTATTGCTTGTCTAGTGCTGCGACAGAAAGTGAGCGTTCTGGAATTTCTGTGAAAAACCTTTCCTATCTATCTCTCTAGCCTACTGTGTATCTGTCATGGCACAATTGGCGTGCTGGCTATGTGTTGGCATCGGTGTAATTGAACGTGTTGAAGTGAATGATTAGGTCAAATGAAACATTAGAGGACTATTGCTCGGGTTACTAGTAGTAGTAGCTACTGACAAGTTGTATCCCTATTAACCATACAATTTTATTATTGAAACGGTCCGCAAAGTGCGCGTGTGTGTGGTGTTGATAGGGCGGTCGTATTTTCCACCGCACGTCAGCAGCACCCTGTCTCGCGACGCGTTAGAGTCAACTAGCAGTTGCGAAAAATGACTGAGATTGGCGGCGTGGGTGTTACAGGTATATTAGTACGGAGACGTAACAGCTAGGTGTGGCTGCGCCGGCGCAGTGCAGACCGCAGCTACCACTGCCGCACGGTTGTACGCGTCTGAACTACAACGCTGCATACGATGCAGCCACTGCTGGATGTATAATCATGCAGTTACACACGGTTGCGTGAACGTGCGTCGGTGCGTGCGTGTGTGCGTGCGTCATCGTTGTCTAGCGTAGCTGAAACGTGCGGTTTGCATGCGTGCGTACGTCCGCCTGCGTAGCTGCTGCGTGCGTGGCGTGCGTGCGTGGCGTGTGTGTGTTCTGTACGCGTGGCGTGGCATGCCGTTTCACGGGTAGCGCAGCACACAGCACACACAGTCACACACACACACCATCACACACACATCAACACACACACAACACACAACACACACACACACATCTACCACCACACACACACGCCTCACGACACACGCACACACACACACTCGTCTCCACAATTCGACACACATCGAAGCGCGAGCACTGGAGATATATACATGCCTAACGGAACCACGCAGGGCCACGATCGCGAATAAAGGATCAGATTGAACAACTGGAGTCATTGCCTTTCGATTCTGCGCCCGGGGATATAGAGATGATTTCGTATGATATACGCTATATATCTATGTCACATCGGCCACCGCTC